TTATAAGAAAACACAGGGAAAGGATTCACAGTATGGATTTCTTCTTGGGAATTTTAGTGCCTTCAACAGAGACACACAGGGGCTCTCCTGATGCCCTTTTAAAACCTGCTTATAGAAAAGCAGCTACCTGCTCAATAGTCTAATCTTGGAGCATCTTTGGATTACAGATTAGGCAAGAGAGTAACTATAGGCCTAAAAAGAATAAAAATAATTGGATTCTGCAGCTAAATGATTTCCTTGTATTTTGGCAGCACATATTATACATATAGTCTTTCCATCCTCTTAGTAGAACATGGGTCTAACTCAAGTAAGAACTCAAAGAGAAACTCTGTTCCATCCATGTGAAGAGTGAAGTATTTTCCATTTGTCCTTGTAAAAAAATTGTTTTAAAAAAGTCATCAGAGCAAAAGAAATGACCATCGGAATAATGCAACTCAAAGGCTCAACCCAGCGACATGCTGCCTTTCTGCTATAATGTGATGTCTCTCTGAAAAACTTCACATTCAGCAAAACAGGCATTACATTCAGTAAAACAAAGCATTCAAAATTCTTTGGAGCTGTAGTCACAGCTCTAACAAAAACCATTATCCATGCCCGCAATGATGGTGTGGCTCCTCTGGCAAGAGCTCCGTGTGCCTGGAGGTCGCTGCAGCAGGCATTTGGAATTCTGATAAATGATAGAGGCCATGGACTGTCAACCCTTCACTGGAGCAGGGCAGGTGGAAGGAAGCTGGGCACATGAGGCAGTGCCATGGGGCTGACTCCCTCTCTGGGGAAGGCTCCTGTGTACAAGTGCTCATACTTAATTTTCTTATAAAAAGGGTGAAAGACATCCTACTGCCAGTGCAACATCAAAGCTGAGATTTTTCTCTCTCTCCTCCTGAAGGTTATGCTTCTATTCCTACTTCCTCCCGCCCCTTGCCTGGGAAAAATCATATACAAATTATATTTACAACTAGAAGCCCATTGCACGAAGATTCGCGCAATAGGCCTTCCTTCCCCTGGCTGCCGGCACTGGTTTTCCTCTGGCACCCAGGACCCAGGCCTTTGGTCCGGCCACAGTGAGGCTTGGCTTCTCCGCCTCTTCAGTCTTCAGTCGTCAGTCTTCACTCTGGTCAGAGCCTTCAGTTTCGCTCCATGCCTGTGTATGCAAATTAACCTCCATCTTTGTTGGGTTAATTTGCATAGTTGCTCTGATTGGCTGGTGGGCATAGTGGAGTGACACCAATTTGCATGTTTCTCTTTTATTAGTGTAGACTAGAGGCCCGGTGCACAAAAATTTGTGCACTCAGGGAGGAAGGGGAGCGTCCCTCAGCCCAGCCTGTGTGCTCTTGCAGTCTGAGACCCCTCAGGGGATGACCACCTGCTGGCTTAGGCCCACTTCCCAGGGATTGGGCCTAAGATCGCAATCAGACATCCCTCTGGCAGCCTGGCAGCCCTCGGGGG